CCTACTGAACGTGGTGAGCCATTGCCTAACAATCACTGACAGGAGTTTACTGATAAACGTTTGCCTACAACTCTTAACCCTCATTTTTCAAGAAAATTTACCAGATCCATCACACATCCCGCAAATTTTTCCAAACATTCATTCGCTTGTAGAATTCCAATATTTACATAAATAAATTTTTTATTATCCAATTCAATGCTGGCGTTGAATGGATTACTTGCTTCATATGGACTATCAAAACCAGGCACTGGACATTTATGTTTTAGTTCGTATAACATTTATGTTTTTGTTCGTATAACATTTATGTTTTTGTTCGTATAACATTTATGTTTTTGTTCGTATACACTTCGGAAACCCTAGATGACGAAATAGATGTCGAAATCTATGGGCATTAGGGCGATGACGAAATAGATGTCGAAATCTACGGGCATTAGGGCACTTCGGAAACCCTAGATGACGAAATAGATGTCGAAATCTATGGGCATTAGGGCACTTCGGAAACCCTAGATGACGAAATAGATGTCGAAATCTATGGCCTTTAGGGCACTTCGGAAACTCTAGATGACGAAATAGATGTCGAAATCTACGGGCATTAAAGCACTTCGGAAACCCTAGATGACGAAATAGATGTCGAAATCTATGGGCATTAGGGCACTTCGGAAACCCTAGATGACGAAATAGATGTCGAAATCTATGGGCATTAGGGCACTTCGGAAACCCTAGATGACGAAATAGATGTCGAAATCTATGGCCTTTAGGGCACTTCGGAAACTCTAGATGACGAAATAGATGTCGAAATCTATGGGCATTAAAGCACTTCGGAAACCCTAGATGACGAAATAGATGTCGAAATCTATGGGCATTAAAGCACTTCGGAAACCCTAGATGACGAAATAGATGTCGAAATCTATGGCCTTTAGGGCACTTCGGAAACTCTAGATGACGAAATAGATGTCGAAATCTATGGGCATTAAAGCACTTCGGAAACCCTAGATGACGAAATAGATGTCGAAATCTATGGCCTTTAGGGCACTTCGGAAACCCTAGATGACGAAATAGATGTCGAAATCTATGGGCATTAAAGCACTTCGGAAACCCTAGATGACGAAATAGATGTCGAAATCTATGGGCATTAGGGCACTTCGGAAACCCTAGATGACGAAATAGATGTCGAAATCTATGGCCTTTAGGGCACTTCGGAAACTCTAGATGACGAAATAGATGTCGAAATCTATGGGCATTAAAGCACTTCGGAAACCCTAGATGACGAAATAGATGTCGAAATCTATGGCCTTTAGGGCACTTCGGAAACCCTAGATGACGAAATAGATGTCGAAATCTATGGGCATTAAAGCACTTCGGAAACCCTAGAACTATTTGTTGACAATTCAAACACTTCCCCCATCACCAAACGAAAAGAACCACCATATTCCGCAACATATAAACGCGCTTGAATTAGAGCTTTCCAAGAAGATGTGGGCAGACGACTGAATGGCTTGACTTCCAAAACGAGACGTTCAATATTCTTTTTGAAAAATAAAGAAAATTTTAAGTCAGATTACATTATAAGGTACACCCTTGGGGTTGAAAAAGGTGGGGTGTCTTAAATAGAGGGTAGCAATTAGACAGTTTCTCCGTCCCTTCCAACTTCATTAGGCAACTCTCACACTCAGTGGCCAACCCGAAATTTAAAGACGTCTATTAAATGGAGGTGCTCTTAGAGGAGACCCCAGCTTAAAATTACTGAGTAAATCTTAGGAAGAGATCCCCCTGTATAACAAATACAAATTACCTCATCAACATTAAATTTGCCATCATAACGCTTCGTTTAACAACCAAATCAACATTTTTAAGCTTAAAGCGCAGATTTCTTTCCAGAACTACAACATTCATTAATTCCAGTAATTACTCCCTCTTCCTTTATTTGCAAAATAATTCCAACAGTGAGCACACCATCCACAGAATTCTCGATTCCAACACCAATTTTGACGTCTTTGATCGAATCAATACTAATCAGATGCACAGCTGGCCATTTTATAATCGAACTTGGAGTTAACTCATCACAAGTATAATTACTGTTGTTGAGATCCTAAAATTAAAAAGAAATTAAAATTTGAAAGAGCCTCGGCTTTCTTTATTAAATTTTTTCCTAAAAAGATTTTCCTAAATGAAGAGGATTTACGTAGTTTTAAATTAAAGAACGGAACCGAGCTGAATTCGAAAAAAAGGAAAAGGCCAAAAAAACATGTGAGAGGACTTTTTCCCCAAATGAGTAATTTTGGCGGCCTCATTTAAAACAGAATGCCAAAATATAAAGAAAAATACTCGGGAAGGTTTTTAAAATATTCTTTGAAAAGATACCAGCAAAAATAATCAAAAAATAATTTATTTCAATTCAAATTTAAACCATCTATTTCTTAATCTTCGAAATACTTGCTTCGCACTCCTAAAAAACAATATTTTAAATCTCAATTTTGAAGGATTTTAAATAAAACTTAGAAAAAAACTTTAAATTAAAAAATAACATACATCAACTTTACTCATAATATCAATCGCTGGCACGATCATGCACTTAGGCAGGAATTTTGCACAATTTTCGAAGATCGCTTTAGATGAACAATCGGGAAAGTCCAGCCCTCCAATTGACATACCCTTCAAACCATGAGTGCAGAAAACTGCACAGCCAGAATCACCTTTTGAAACCGTAACAACGCCAATAAGGTATGGACCACGTAATTCGCCACCACCTGAATATTTTAGTATTAACTTTAAATAAAAAATCAAACTTTTAATCCTCTCAGTTTTAGAACTCTGAAGACAACCATTTTTCCTACATGGTTTGAGTTTGTCGATTTCATTAGTAAAGCCGCCACAAAGATAAATGCTTCCAGAACACATCTTTTCACAGATTTGGGGTCCGAAATCACAAATTTTTGTTTCCGACTTTAGAACCACAAAATCTTGTTCATGTGAAACGAAGACTGCTGTAGTATTGAATTCTTTGTTGCCCTTACAAACTTTAATTTTGGTGACATTCTCTTTATATTTAAGTCTAGATGAATGGGCATATGTTGTGAAGTAGAATGGATGAATGCAGATGACTGCAGATCTGACCTCTTTGTTTGTTTTTTCATCAACAAGCGACGTGTAAAAGCAAAATTCCATAGCATATTCAATTTCGGGAAGTTGACCTCAAAATATTAATCGTTTTTAACAAAATTATTCCCCCTCCCCCATTTTTTCCTTTTCCCTGACCATTTTGAGATTCTTTGCTTGATCCATAATTTTTTAACCTTTGAAAGAGTCTTTCGAGCTGGGTCGAATGATACAATGATCGGTTGGATTTGGCGAGTTTAAACAAAATTATTAAGCTGAAACCTCGCTTGAAAAACTTTTTTTGTTCGATACAGGCGATTAAAACGAATGACATAACTATCTTGATTTAAGTCAGATTTCGTTGATTCGACTGAGCTCGAAGAGCTCTCTCAAGACAAATAATTTGCTATAAAAAAAGAACAAATGCTAAAAGGGATTCAGGAAAAAATGAGGAGAATATTATCTATAAAAAATTTTTACCTTCTACACGCATACGAGAACCTCCAGATAAACCATTTTTCAACGATGTTGTCAACGTTTCAAATTGATCACTGAGTGTTGCAATTAAACTTTGAAGGATAGGCATCTGTTCTGTTGTAATAATAGGCATGAAATCAGTGATTGTATCGAGTGATTTCCTAACAACATTAATTTGACCATTTATAAGAGAATTTAAGGAGTCAATTTCAATATTTGAAGAACTTTGTGTTGCTAAAGGCGACAAATTTGCTTCTAAAGCTGTTCTTTTAGCCATTTAATTTTATTACCAAATTGGTTTCTTTTATTCAAACAGCTATAAAGAAAATTGGTAATCCTTAAGATCATTGGTCCCTAAAAAAAAATTGGGAAAAAAGTGCTGTTTTGATAATTTTGACCCCAAATTCGACTTTGTCGAATTTGGGTTCGTGGTTCGAAATAAACCAATTCTAAGCTCAGATTCGGACTCAGCACACTCGATTACCTACTGGCAGACCTCAAAATTATCAAAACAGCACTTTTTTCCCAATTTTTTTTAGGGACCAATGATCTTAAGGATTACCAGAAAATTAAATACAGATTTAAAAGATTAAAGAAAAATGAACGATCTGATTCTACTGGACTAAATTTCTAAACACGCGGTTTTGGGAGAAACAGAACCGGTACATTGGCAGAACTCGCCAAAAATAAACCTAAACTGTCATACCACAAATCTAATTGAATAAAATCAAAAAAATATTTTTCTTAAATTTCTATTAAAGGCTCTATTATTTTTTTAAGTTTCGGAAGTTTTATTGGAATTAGCCATTCATTTAGAATTCTCTGCCCATGCGGAGAATTCTAGCCTTTTGGCAAAATGTCGGTTTTTCCCTCGTCGACAAAAGAACATTTTAACACTTCGTAATTTTGTTGAAATGAATTGGGGATCATTGAGTCCCACCGGTTGAGTCTCGGAGCCATATTTTGGGCCATAACTTTTTGTGTTTTCAACCAATTCGAATAAATCTTTTACCATTCGAAAGCCCTGGATCTATGGATTATTTTCGTCAACTAGATTGATTTGATCTGATCATCGTACAAAAAGTTACATCTAGATAAGTGCGCGCAATCGTGTTTTTGATCTTCATTAAGCCTTAACTTTTTGTATGAAGTTCTAATCAAATCAATCCTGCTAGATAAAATAATCCTCTCATTTAGAGCTTTCGATTGATATATTAATTATTTAAATCGATTAAGAATTGAAAAAGTTATGGCCTAAAATATGGCTCTGGGACTCAACCAGCGAGACTCAATAATCTTTTTCCGTGCTGAAAATATTATTTTAAATTTTTCGACTGCAGATTTTTATTAAATTTGTGTTTTTTAGATCAAAAATTTTCGAAAATTACCTTGTTTTTTTACTAGATTAATTTTTTAATTTTTAGGAAATGCTTATTGCTCCTCAATTTCTTTTATTCTCTTTTATAATTTTTTGTGCAATTCTTTTGTATCGCCACATAAAATTAAGGAGTCAACTAGTTAATGTCCCTTCGCCTCGATCCTGGATGTTATTTGGACACGTTTTAATAATTAAACCGGACATGGAAGGATTTATTGACCAATTAATGGGAATGGCACAGCTTTATCCACAACACCCAAGAATGACTTTATTTTGGTTTGGCACAATTCCAACGTTAATGATTTATTCTGCGAGACTTGTTGAATCTTTGTTCAGTAATAACAATCATATAAATAAAGGAATGTTTTATGATATGTTTCGACCTTGGCTTGGAAATGGACTTTTAACCAAGTTTTTTTTTTGAAATTTTTTGAATTAAAAAAATTTTTTGAATTTTTAAAGCACTGGTGAAGGATGGCGTGCTCGACGTAAATTGCTCACTCCAACATTTCACCACGAAATATTGAAAAGTTTTGTGAATGTGTTTAATTATCAAGCTGATATACTTGTTCGAAAATTGCATACTTTGGTGGGCAAAACTGAGTAAGTTTTGAATTTTTATTTTCTAGGCAAGTTTCATAGGGTCTCTGCGAGTTGGATGAACCCAGTCAATGACGGACCCAACAGAAATTAAGGGCATTCCTTATCTTTGGAGTAACTTTGTGTGAGGAAAGAGGGAAAGAATCCGGCCCAAGCAGATAAATTTTAAATTTAATGGATCGTCCTAGGTTCCCTTCTCTTATGGCCGTAAAAATTAAGAGTTAAAGTTATGCCAATTTTTAAAATAAAAACTTTTTCTTTTTAGAGGCCAAATTGATGATATTACTCCACTTATAAGTCTTTGCACTTTGGATATTATTTGTGAAACTTCTATGGGCAGATCAGTAAATGCACAACAAGAGGTTAATTCTCTTCTATGGGCAGATCAGTAAATGCACAACAAGAGGTTAATTCTCTGCAGTTTTCGCTCTACTTTTCGTTCAATAATTACCTACAAACATATTTTTTCGAATTAAAAAAATATTTAAAAAATTACCTTTCTTGTAAAAGACTTCAAAATATTCAAAGACCATTCATGCTTCCTGCCCGCACCAAAATACCAAAAAAATAGATCTGGCCAAACTAAAGGGTTTTTCTGTCTATTTTGGATGATGTCATTAATGCAGAGCACAGCCTTAACATAATCTGAGTCTTCCTCTTGTTGTGCATTTACTGATCTGCCCATAGAAGTTTCACAAATAATATCCAAAGTGCAAAGACTTATAAGTGGAGTAATATCATCAATTTGGCCTCTAAAAAGAAAAAGTTTTTATTTTAAAAATTGGCATAACTTTAACTCTTAATTTTTACGGCCATAAGAGAAGGGAACCTAGGACGATCCATTAAATTTAAAATTTATCTGCTTGGGCCGGATTCTTTCCCTCTTTCCTCACACAAAGTTACTCCAAAGATAAGGAATGCCCTTAATTTCTGTTGGGTCCGTCATTGACTGGGTTCATCCAACTCGCAGAGACCCTATGAAACTTGCCTAGAAAATAAAAATTCAAAACTTACTCAGTTTTGCCCACCAAAGTATGCAATTTTCGAACAAGTATATCAGCTTGATAATTAAACACATTCACAAAACTTTTCAATATTTCGTGGTGAAATGTTGGAGTGAGCAATTTACGTCGAGCACGCCATCCTTCACCAGTGCTTTAAAAATTCAAAAAATTTTTTTAATTCAAAAAATTTCAAAAAAAAAACTTGGTTAAAAGTCCATTTCCAAGCCAAGGTCGAAACATATCATAAAACATTCCTTTATTTATATGATTGTTATTACTGAACAAAGATTCAACAAGTCTCGCAGAATAAATCATTAACGTTGGAATTGTGCCAAACCAAAATAAAGTCATTCTTGGGTGTTGTGGATAAAGCTGTGCCATTCCCATTAATTGGTCAATAAATCCTTCCATGTCCGGTTTAATTATTAAAACGTGTCCAAATAACATCCAGGATCGAGGCGAAGGGACATTAACTAGTTGACTCCTTAATTTTATGTGGCGATACAAAAGAATTGCACAAAAAATTATAAAAGAGAATAAAAGAAATTGAGGAGCAATAAGCATTTCCTAAAAATTAAAAAATTAATCTAGTAAAAAAACAAGGTAATTTTCGAAAATTTTTGATCTAAAAAACACAAATTTAATAAAAATCTGCAGTCGAAAAATTTAAAATAATATTTTCAGCACGGAAAAAGATTATTGAGTCTCGCTGGTTGAGTCCCAGAGCCATATTTTAGGCCATAACTTTTTCAATTCTTAATCGATTTAAATAATTAATATATCAATCGAAAGCTCTAAATGAGAGGATTATTTTATCTAGCAGGATTGATTTGATTAGAACTTCATACAAAAAGTTAAGGCTTAATGAAGATCAAAAACACGATTGCGCGCACTTATCTAGATGTAACTTTTTGTACGATGATCAGATCAAATCAATCTAGTTGACGAAAATAATCCATAGATCCAGGGCTTTCGAATGGTAAAAGATTTATTCGAATTGGTTGAAAACACAAAAAGTTATGGCCCAAAATATGGCTCCGAGACTCAACCGGTGGGACTCAATGATCCCCAATTCATTTCAACAAAATTACGAAGTGTTAAAATGTTCTTTTGTCGACGAGGGAAAAACCGACATTTTGCCAAAAGGCTAGAATTCTCCGCATGGGCAGAGAATTCTAAATGAATGGCTAATTCCAATAAAACTTCCGAAACTTAAAAAAATAATAGAGCCTTTAATAGAAATTTAAGAAAAATATTTTTTTGATTTTATTCAATTAGATTTGTGGTATGACAGTTTAGGTTTATTTTTGGCGAGTTCTGCCAATGTACCGGTTCTGTTTCTCCCAAAACCGCGTGTTTAGAAATTTAGTCCAGTAGAATCAGATCGTTCATTTTTCTTTAATCTTTTAAATCTGTATTTAATTTTCTGGTAATCCTTAAGATCATTGGTCCCTAAAAAAAATTGGGAAAAAAGTGCTGTTTTGATAATTTTGAGGTCTGCCAGTAGGTAATCGAGTGTGCTGAGTCCGAATCTGAGCTTAGAATTGGTTTATTTCGAACCACGAACCCAAATTCGACAAAGTCGAATTTGGGGTCAAAATTATCAAAACAGCACTTTTTTCCCAATTTTTTTTTAGGGACCAATGATCTTAAGGATTACCAATTTTCTTTATAGCTGTTTGAATAAAAGAAACCAATTTGGTAATAAAATTAAATGGCTAAAAGAACAGCTTTAGAAGCAAATTTGTCGCCTTTAGCAACACAAAGTTCTTCAAATATTGAAATTGACTCCTTAAATTCTCTTATAAATGGTCAAATTAATGTTGTTAGGAAATCACTCGATACAATCACTGATTTCATGCCTATTATTACAACAGAACAGATGCCTATCCTTCAAAGTTTAATTGCAACACTCAGTGATCAATTTGAAACGTTGACAACATCGTTGAAAAATGGTTTATCTGGAGGTTCTCGTATGCGTGTAGAAGGTAAAAATTTTTTATAGATAATATTCTCCTCATTTTTTCCTGAATCCCTTTTAGCATTTGTTCTTTTTTTATAGCAAATTATTTGTCTTGAGAGAGCTCTTCGAGCTCAGTCGAATCAACGAAATCTGACTTAAATCAAGATAGTTATGTCATTCGTTTTAATCGCCTGTATCGAACAAAAAAAGTTTTTCAAGCGAGGTTTCAGCTTAATAATTTTGTTTAAACTCGCCAAATCCAACCGATCATTGTATCATTCGACCCAGCTCGAAAGACTCTTTCAAAGGTTAAAAAATTATGGATCAAGCAAAGAATCTCAAAATGGTCAGGGAAAAGGAAAAAATGGGGGAGGGGGAATAATTTTGTTAAAAACGATTAATATTTTGAGGTCAACTTCCCGAAATTGAATATGCTATGGAATTTTGCTTTTACACGTCGCTTGTTGATGAAAAAACAAACAAAGAGGTCAGATCTGCAGTCATCTGCATTCATCCATTCTACTTCACAACATATGCCCATTCATCTAGACTTAAATATAAAGAGAATGTCACCAAAATTAAAGTTTGTAAGGGCAACAAAGAATTCAATACTACAGCAGTCTTCGTTTCACATGAACAAGATTTTGTGGTTCTAAAGTCGGAAACAAAAATTTGTGATTTCGGACCCCAAATCTGTGAAAAGATGTGTTCTGGAAGCATTTATCTTTGTGGCGGCTTTACTAATGAAATCGACAAACTCAAACCATGTAGGAAAAATGGTTGTCTTCAGAGTTCTAAAACTGAGAGGATTAAAAGTTTGATTTTTTATTTAAAGTTAATACTAAAATATTCAGGTGGTGGCGAATTACGTGGTCCATACCTTATTGGCGTTGTTACGGTTTCAAAAGGTGATTCTGGCTGTGCAGTTTTCTGCACTCATGGTTTGAAGGGTATGTCAATTGGAGGGCTGGACTTTCCCGATTGTTCATCTAAAGCGATCTTCGAAAATTGTGCAAAATTCCTGCCTAAGTGCATGATCGTGCCAGCGATTGATATTATGAGTAAAGTTGATGTATGTTATTTTTTAATTTAAAGTTTTTTTCTAAGTTTTATTTAAAATCCTTCAAAATTGAGATTTAAAATATTGTTTTTTAGGAGTGCGAAGCAAGTATTTCGAAGATTAAGAAATAGATGGTTTAAATTTGAATTGAAATAAATTATTTTTTGATTATTTTTGCTGGTATTTTCTCAAAAAATTTTTCGTTTATTAATTTCACACTGCCTTTTTACATAAAAATTTGACTCATGCTTGTTTTTTTTTCTACATGTTTGAACAATCATCCAATTATCTTTAGTATTTTTTATGAACATTTTTAAACTGCTTCTTAGTCAGCTCAAATATTGACAGATAATTGGGTTCTAGAACTTTTAAATTATTTACTTCCAGTTTTAGTGCTGTCGACAACCATTTTTAAAAATGACGAGATACGTAAAAAACGACGCTGAAGAGGGGATTTTCTTTTAGGAAACTCTTGGAAAAAAAAATTTATTTTTAGGGTATCTAGCAAAAACCTTATCGACAAAACGATAGTTTTTAGCCTTCTTGGCAAAATGGGTTTTGGCAAAACATTTAAAACACATTTTTCAATTATTGATTTTTCCATATTTTAATCTTAAGCCTCCTTTAATTTTTCTTTTTAGCCTTTTATTCAAACAGAAATTTTATTTTTTATTGTTTATTATCTCGACTTCAAGATGACCAATCAAATAACAGCTTTGGAAGCGAATTTGTCGCCGTTGACTATACAAGATACTTCAAATGTTGAAATTGACCCTTTAAATTCTCTCATAAACGGTCAAATTAATTGTATTAAGAAATCACTGAATACAATTACTGCTTTAATTCCAACTGTGAAACCAGAACAGATGCCTATCCTTCAAAGTTTAATTGCAACACTTAGTGATCAATACGAAATATTGACAAAATCGTTGGCTCTTCGTCAAAATCGCTTATCTGTTGGTTCTCATATGAGTGTGGAAGGTAAAAAATTTGTTTTTATTTATGTACATAATAGATCTTTAACCAATATATTTTGAGGTCAACTTCCCGAATTAGATGAGGTTGAAAAATTTTGTTTTTACACCTCGAATTTTGATGAAAAAACAAGCAAAGAGGTCAGATCTGCAGTTATCTGCATTCATCCATTCTACTTCGCAAAATATGCCGATACAACTTTGGTCGAATATAAAGAGAATGTCACCAAAGTTGAAGTTTATAAGGACAGCAAAGAATTCAATACTACAGCAGTGTTCGTTTCAAATGAACAAGATTTTGTGATTCTAAAGTCGGAAGAAAAAATTTGCAATTTTGGACCCGAAATTTGTGAAAAGATGTGTTGTGGAAGCATTTATCTTTGTGGCGGCTTTACTAATGAAATCGACAAACTCAAACCATGCAGGAAAAATGGTTGTCTTCAGAGTTCTAAAACTGAGAGAATTAAAAGTTTGATTTTTTTAAATTTAAGTTAATATAAAAATATTCAGGTGGTGGCGAATTACGTGGTCCTTATCTTATTGCCGATGTTACTGCTTCAGATGTCGACTCTGGTTCTGCAGTTTTCTGCACTCATGGCTTGAAGGGTATTTGCATTGGAGCGCTGGAATTGCCAGAGTGTTCATCTAAAGATGTTTCTGGAGAATCTGCTGCTTGTCTTTCTAAATGTGCGGTTATTGCAGCAATTGATATTATGCGTATGGTTGATGTTTGTTATTTTTTTTATTATTTTTTACTTTGAAAATATTTCTCTAACAGTTCAATTTGAATTTCTTAAAGATCAAGATTTTTAAAATTTTGTTTTTTAGTTGCTTGAAAGAGAGGCGCGAGGAGATCCACAACCAACATTTTCATTTGGGGATGATTAAGGAAATTTTTGCAATGTGGTTATTGAAGAATAGGTTTGGATTTGAAGTAAATTGATTTTTTTTGATGGAAAATGTTTAAAAATTTTTTTTTGTTTATTTATTTCACTGAATTTTTTACATAATAAATAAATTGGCTTTTGTTGGTTTTTATGTCTTCTACATGTTTGATCATTTACCTTTAATCATTCTTTTATAGCTCTGGGTTCAAATTTTTAGAGCAAATTCGATCGTTTACAGAAAATTCAGGTTTAATTTTTTCTTGTTATAAGTTCAATTTTATTTTTTAGTTTTGAAGTCCCGCAGCAACCATCTTTACCAGAAAATGATTTCCGAACAGGTCACCGGTTCATGACGTGATTAGACGTGATGGAGAGATGATTTTATTAGTTTTTTTGTGATTGATTCATCTGAACTTTGGTTTGAGTTGTGAAGAATGCCGGGGAAATTCATTAAATTGTTAAAGCTTTGACATTTTGAGAGGTTTTTAATAAAAAATTATTATATAGACGCGAACAGTGCTTTTCGGTATATCTTGCTTTTTTCAATTTTTCTTTGTTTGTTCAATGTTTAGTTTAATATTAATTTGTGTTTTAATGGATAGCCCTAAACGATGTCGGAGTAAGTCTCGAACAAGTTTTACTTGACGTTGAAACCCAAAGAAAACGTCGAAGAAAATAGATTCCTGTCCTCGGATCCTTTTGCGAAAATTTTAATTGACCAAAAACAATATAGGTAGTTTACAGAGTAAATTCTAGTTTATTTTTTCAATATTTATAAGACATGCTTCTATTCCCTATGGATTCTCATTTGACAGCTTAAAATCTATTATAACTATTTGTTTATGATTAGATAAAGTTATTCTAAATAACATCTATTGGACAAATTTATATTAACTATCCTTAGACCGAAGGTATTTATCATGGCTGGCCGAAACTTGCGGACCGACTTTTGCGGACAAAAACTTGCGGACCCGACGAATTTCTTGAAACATAGCTCATTCGAAAGGGCTCGACGATCTGAGTCGAATGACATCAAAATCATCGTGATTGTACAAGCTTGGACAAAGTTACGATAGAAAAACAAAAACATAAACCCCTGGTCCGCAAAAGTCGGTCCGCAAGTTTCGCACTACCATTTATCATACCCAGAGTACAATCCAAAATTTAGTAATCAAAAACGAGATAATTTACGGGCATTTCTTACCTAAAAAACAAATTTTTAAATTAAAAAATCTTATACAATTTATTCAAAAAAAAAATTTTTTTTAACTAATATATACTTTAAAATAATGAAAGAGTTATACTTGATGTTTATTGTATTTCAATCTTACAATTCGTCGTTAAAATTCATCAGGTTGCTCTTGCTTGCATGTGCCAACAAATTTGGTGAGATTAAATCGTTCCCCAGTTGAATGGGGTTTTTTGGAATAGTCTTTTTTGGCGGCCTCGGCGGCGGCGGAATATTCTCCAAATCGTCGCTTTCATCAAAAATAGACATATACCGCTTGCATTGCCCTTTAATCTCTTCCAGAATTTGACAACTCGAATTTGAAGATGAGAACTTTGGACCAGTAAATTTGTGAACCCGCATAGGAGATGATGGGCTGCCACCAGATATTATCTTTAAATTTATTTTTGGAATTTAAAAAAATATAAATTTGTTTGGTGTTTGTGGGGTGGGATGTCACAGATTGAGAAAAAGTCGGGTAAGATTTTTTCGGACTGGGTTCCGGCTAAAAAAAGCAGGGTTTCAGGCAACTCGTGACCTTCCTGCTTTATGCGGGTAAATTAAAAAGGCACTTTAATCCCTGACAATTCCCCGTAAAATAAACTTCGAAAGGCATGCCCATTTCGAATAAATTCTCCCCATCTAGATTAACCCGACAAAATATCCTCCCAAATGCTAGGAAAGAACAAAGTTCCTAATTGGATGATAGCCTCCCAAAATAACCTGAATTTCACTGTCTTCTTCACAAAAGCTAAATCCAAAGGAAGGACGAGCAGTACGTTGTCGTGTAGCCATAGGAGATTCTTTGCTAGTTGATGGAACCTTTGTACGTTTTCGACTCTGAGAAATCTCTTCCCGCAACTTTTCAATTTCCTTGTCTTTTTTGCTGTTCTCAAGACGCTCTTTACGAATTTGTTCAAGAAGTTCTTTATTTTTTTGTTCCATCGCCCTCAATTGCCTAAAAATTAAATGTTGTAATGTTCAGCTTATATTTTAAAAATACTTTCGAATTAATTTGAGAAATTCTCCACAATTGGGGTCGCCATTTTTAGTCGAGTACATGTTAATAATATCCTCAATTTCCGTTTCGTTGGCAGTTGAAGAAATTTTGCAGACATATGAGTAGCTAAAAATGGATATAAAGTTTAGTCGGTGGCCTACTAAATTTTGACTCGAAACTCATACAACTCGTCTCTGTAAACTAAGTCGAACGGGACTACCACTCTATAGTAGGACCGAGATATAGAATTCTAAAATTGAAAAACGTAGGGTGCCATGTTAATTTTTCCGCACGCAATGAGTTGTAATGCTCAACTCATCCCCATGCCGGGCTAACTCACGGAACGACAAGTCGCAAGTCATGTACAAACGACAAGTCATGTAATCATCAAATCACAGAACGACCAACTCACGGAACGACAAATCACGGAATATTATCGTTCCGTGATCTGTCTGTTTCGTAAGTTGGAATTCTTCGAGTTGGCCACCACCCACTAATCTCACCTAGATGAACTGAATGGTATGTTTTGACCAAAAATTTAATGGGCCACAGGCTAAAGTTTAACCCTCAATTTCATTCTAAAATTAGAAAAAAACCAACAAATCAGAAGCTCTAAGTTGCTGCTTAAGTCTAAAATTTTCCTTCTTCATCGCATCTTGATCTTCAAGAATACCCTCCAAACGTTTAATATGCACGTCTTTAAGCTTTATCCTAGCTTTGAGGTCATTGTTCATTGTTTTCTTTAAAAGCAAAAATATTCACATAAAATTAAAAATTAACCTCTCTAGCCAATTCATCATCAACTTTAATTTTCTCCTGCAAAATTTCTTTAAGTTGAGATTCTAAAGTTTTGATTTTTTGCTCATATTCGGCCTAAAAATTTATTTTTATTTAGATTCCTTTTAAATTTAAAAGAAAACGTTTGCGGAAGTTTCAGAGTCCGGAAATTGGCACATTGATTTGTCTGGCTCGTCAACATAGAGACGGATAATGTCCCTCGGGAGATTCTTCTTGCGGCAAGTTGGGCAAGATTTGGAGGTCTAAAAAATACAAAGAAGGTTAATATTGAACCGAACAGACACCCTTTATTCCTCCCCAATTTTTCACCTATTTTTGCAAAATGGTCAGACTTTTTTCTTTCTTTCACTCAAAAATTAGGGAGAAAAAATGGGAAATAAAATATCAAAAATAATCCTTCTTGTTAGATTGTAGGCAAAATATAGAAAGGCAATCTGGATGGAAGGAAGGAAAAAGTCTGACCATTTTGCAAAACTATAGAGGGAAAATTGGGGAGGAAAAAAGGCGAGCTCTTTCGAATGAGCTATCATTTGCTTAAATTTTTTATTTCAAAAATGGTTGTTCAATTTTCAGGGGTCTGTATTTCGGTCCAATCAAGTCGGATTTTGTCGATTTTGGTGTCATTTGACTCGGCTTAATGTGCTCTACAATTTTTGTCAAACTGACCATTTTTACATATTTTTCGAAAAAACTGATGGGGGGGGGGGGTAAATAAGTACTGGGAAAAAAGGGGTCTGTCCGGCTCACTATTTAATAAAAAAACCTAACATTAATCCAAGTTGAAATGCATTCGAAATGATAGGTGTGTCCGCAACGTAAAGCCGAGATATCGTCACGTTCAAAGGCCAAAGTGCAGATAATACAACGACCAAAGTTGGAGGACATTTAAAGCGTTAAAATAAAGTGAAGAGCAAAGAAGTTAAAATAAATAAAAATTCTAATAAAAACAAATTTATAATTCTTTAAATTAAAAAAAAAACAATTAAAAAATAATTTATATAAAAAATACTCAAATAAAATATTAAAGGAGGCGCGCTATCCTTATTTTCCCTTATTTCTCTGTAACACAAAAAAAGCAATTTATTCTTAGTCCTTAATGTTTGTTGATTTGTGCCGTAAGGATAATTTTAAAAAATTCCAAAAGCACCTCTTTTCAAGTAGGGTCAAACATTAAATCGATAAATTTTTAAGAAAAAATTTTAGTAACAACAAATTTAAAAATTCAAAATCTGCTTTATAAAAATGAGAACGGCCCACTTTGTCGCAGACTTTCTCACAGTACTTTGTCGCAGCCCATTTGGGTGCAAAGCAGAGTTGCGTCCGAAAATTTTTCGTAACCTTAATTTGTAACTCAAAAAATGTAGTAATTCGAATCGAAATTCGTAAAAAACCTGCGAATATTTCCTGAAAATATCGGAAAATATTACCCGGTAAAAATCACTTTCCTAGTTCTACGCTTACTTGGGCACACCTTCGATCCTAGCAAATCTCCCGATATCCTCAAAATCAAAATTTTTTCAAGTTTAAAATATTAAAAAATAAATTTATAATAAGCCAAACAGAGTATCAAGGTGAAGCCTGACCCTCTATACCATTCGACCACCGATCAACATACGGAAAAGTGGGCACAAATTAATTTTGTCTTTTTAATTTTTAAAAAATGGACCCACAGATGTGTATATTTATGTATAAAAAATTAACAAAAAAAATTCTTGATTATGCCAAACGATATGTTTAAAAATAATTGCTTTTAGTATGTTAGGAAGAATGGTTCCTTTGCGATAAGTAAAGAAAATCAAAAGAAAATTAAGGAAAAAAGTTGAGAGCTTGGTTAGAAGCAGAGCCAACAACAAACACACGAAACCCTATTTTTCGAAGCTTCTCTTGGTCTACAATACGTCTTCCATCAAAAAGACATGCTGGCTTTTTCATTAAAGAAAATAATTCTTTGTAATCGAGCTCCTTAAAAAAGATTTTAAATAAAAATTCGAATCTCCCTACAAGATGCACCCAATATTAGATGTGCCTCAGTCTAATAGACGCTTTTTTAAAAAGGTTAGCGGTTGGGTAGGGGAGCTGCCCAAGCGATTACCTTCCTTTTAATGTACCCTCCATTTAAAATACCCTCCTTTTAGGATACCCTCCATTTAGGATACCCTCCTTTTAAGATACCACTCAATTTAAGATACCTTCCATTGAAGATACCCTTCTTTTAATATACTCTCCATTTAAGATACCTTCCCTTGAAGATACCTTCTATTTAAGATACCCTCCTTTTAAGATACCTTCAATTTAAGATACCCTCCATTTAGGATAAACCTCATTAGTTATTTTCACCCCAAGGGTGTATCTTATAGTGCAGTCGATTCATTATTTTTACCTTAAATTCATCCCATTCTGTTAAAATAACAATTGCATGTGCCTTTTCTGCTGCTTTATAAGGGCAATTACAAATTGTGATTAATTTATCAACTTTAATAAATTTTTAAATTAGAAAATTCTTTAAAAATTGCCTGTCTGTTTGTCAGATAATTTTTCCAAATCTGCACGTATTTGGGTTTCCCTAACTTTTGGGTCATATATAAAAAGTTGGGCATGTTCGTCAATTAAATGTTTTGTTACATAAATTGCTGGGGACCCTCTGAAAATTTTTTCTACTTAAAAATTTTTTTTCAAAAATTTGCCTAGTATCTCCAGTATTCTTTTTAAAAGCAAAACCAAAAATTGCAATTTTCTTGTCAGTAATTGTATTAAATAATTCTGCAATTATTTTATCGGAAAAACGACGTCTTTGCCATTCATTCATATCAATTACCTTTAAAAAATTATTTTAAAATTGTTAAAAAAATTTTTTTTAGTCAAAGTAAATCAACTGCAAAGGCTTCTAGGTTTTTTAAAGAATAGCAGGACCGCTCAGGAATCGAACCCAGGACCCTTCCAGTTACAAGTCGGGGGCTTTAACCACTACACCACGCCAAGACTTAATAAAATGATTTTACATTCATCCAATAATTAGCAACTTGTTTAAGATGAAGAACTTCACAAAGATAAACTAACGACAAAACATCTTTTTGAAAACAACTTCCACCAAAACCAACACTTGCATTTAAAAAACGATCCCCAATTCGTTGATCTTTTCCTACGGCATTGGCTACTTCACCTACATCAGCACCAGTTGCCTCACAAATTGCTGAGATTGAATTTATGCTAGAAATGCGTTGAGCCAGGAAGGCGTTTGAAGCCTTAAATATTTCAGTTAGACCGCCCAATTTAAGATACACCTAATACTTGACAACCTCTATTTAAGATACGTTTTCTAAAATTTGGTTGGCCATTGGATGGAGGAGATGCCAAAGCGACACCTCTACTTAACGTACATCTCATTATAAGGTACCTTCTATATAATATACTCCCTATCTTAGAACAACTCAGTTCAGGATGTTCTCATGCTGGCCATTAAGCGGAGGAGCTTCCAAGCGATACCCCTCTATTTAACATAGACATCTGTCATAGGGCACGATTATTTCAACCCCAAGGGGGGTATCTTAGTAAGGTCTGTCTGTATTAAATTAAAAATTCTTTCGCACCAATTTTGAAAGCTCTGACGACCAAGTATTCATTGTAATTACACGTTCACGAGGTACCCAACGCTCATAAATACTTGCAAGTTGAGAGATGGCTGCATGGCCTTCAGGGGTCTGTTCTCCACCAATAAGCACTCTGAAAAGCTTTAAATTAAAAAATTAATAAAGGTAACCTGTCAGGGTTAGCCAGGTCTTGCATTGCAGTTCCTTCAGCGAGGAATTCAGGGTTAGAAAGAACCTTTTTTGAATGAATTAATATTTAATCATACAGTATACAATCGAACCTCATTTTTAGACACCTCCCTGGGGCTGAAAGTCTCTTATAATGAAGTGTACGTTAAATAGAGGGTATCGCTTAAGCAGCAAGTGACCTACCAAACAACTCTGGGTGTATGTTACAGAGAGGGTCTCTTATAGAGAGGTCTCTTAAATAGAGGTGTATATAGTATTTGGGGTATCTTATAATGAGGTTCAACTGTAATTACTTGAAAGGAAAGACGTTTGGTGTCCAATTTTTCTGCTTCCCGTAAAATATATCGAATACTTTCAGCAGCTTTAACGGGAACAGTGGACTTTTCAACAACAATTTTTGGGCCGTTTGCATGCTCTGCTATAGTTCTCGAAACAGATTCCATATAACAAAGATCAGGAGCCATTCCCTTTAAAAAATAATTTTAAAATAAATTTTTCAATTAACAACACACTTTTCCTCTCCCATAAGTCTTTGTTGGAGTGTTGACAGAAATAAAAATAAGTTGAGCGCTTTGAATCGCAGCGGGGATATCGTTAGAAAAGAATAAATTTCGACCTCGACAAGTGTTTATTAATTCGTCTAGACCTGGCTAAAAAAATTTTTTTTGAACCTCATTATAAGATACCTCCCTGGGGCTAAAGTCTCTTATAATGAGAGGTATCTTAAATAGAGGGTATCAATAAGTCAGCTCCCCCACCTCACTCAATGGCCAACCAGCATTTGTAAGGTATCTTGACTAAAAGGTGTTCTAGCATCTTATAATGAGTTTAGAGGTATCTTAAATAGAGGTGCATCTTATAATGAGGGCCAATTAAATTTCTTCTACCTCATATATCGGTAAATTATCAGAATTCCACTGGTCTATTTTCTCTTGATTCATATCAACTACAGTAACTGTTATATCAGAGCATTTAAAGGCTATCTGTCATTAAATGATTTTTTAATATTACAAAAATAAACCACCATAGCACTGGTAGGTCCACCAACATAACCAGCACCTATACAAGTTATTCTTTTTATCTCCCCAACACTTTCCTTAAATTAATTTTGAAATAAAATTTTGAAGAAAATTAAAGCTTGCCCTTTCGTCTGGAGACATTTTCTAAGAATATTTAAACGGAAAAATTGAAAAATTTTTTTGCTGTCTTTCAATATATTTTAGTCTCTTCTAGTACATAATTTAGTGAATTTCTAAATTTATAAACCGATCGTTTTCATTCTGAACTAGAAAAATAAATTTACTTTATATGAATTATTCATAAACAACCAAAAATAAAAGCCTATCAAATATCCAACCATTCATTTAATAAATGGAGAAAACTGGGGCTATTTTTCTACTAAAAACAATTTTTATTTTGACAAATAAACTTTTAAAAATTCCACGTTTTAAAAAAACTGATAAAATAATTTAAATAATAAAAAAATAAAGGACAAGTAAACATTTAAAATTATTAATTGCTAAATAGTTATATAGAGAGGCTGTCCAAAATTTTTCGAAATCTCAAGAGTAAAAGAAAGACTCGAGAACAGTGTTTGAAATTTTAAAGGTTTTTTAAATTTTATCTCTCCCTAGTATCCCTCCAAAGATTTTGTTCGTGCATTGGTGGGATAAACGTGCAACTACCCAGAGGGTACGACTTTTCTTGTTAGAATTGAACCTCGATTTATAAAAAAATAAAATCCTAATTCCAAACAATCCACAATTTCATTAGCTTCGTGCCTGACCTTGCCAAAGCGCTATATTAGCAATATTATACAACGCGTTACTAAACTTACGTTTACCCTTATTTTTACCTAACTCCATTTGAAATAGTCGGATTTATTTCAAATTTCGTGATACAACGTCAATATAGGTGGTTTCAAAATTTTGTTATGCACACTCGGGAAAATACAAAGAAGATACTTAAATCTTGAGACTTCGAATTTTGGACAGCTACACCTCACAGTGTTTTTTTAAGACAATAACCATGAATTAATGCAAAATTCATTTTAAAATTTCAAAATTATTTTTAAACCAAAGCGCTTTCTTTATTTTAGTTGCACCATTTAAATATTGGCAGAAAAACAAATATTGAGTGATATGAGTGAAAAGTGATCGGTGAAAAAAGAAAAATACATTAATGAATGGGGGAGAAGAAAAATATTTGATATAATATTTTAGTCAACAAATATCCTCTTTAGAAAATTTTACAAATTAATCACTGAATTGGGGCTGCTATAAACAATTTTTAAACTAAAATTTTCATAATGTTCTTCTGAGGATATTTGTTAAAATTTAGAAAAATTATTAAAAGTTAGAGCTTTAATATAGTGCACATTTTACAAGTTAATTAAATTAGATATTTAATTAATTTAGTTAAATATTTATGGCAAAAAATATAATTAAGAGAGAAAAGGTTTACAATTTAAATTGAATAGAAAAAATAAGATTCATATGTAAATTAGATTTAAGATATATTTAAGTTTTAAATATTAAGGCAACTTTAAAATAATGATAAGAAGATGGACGAATCTTGGAAAAAAATACAGAAAAGGGATATGGAAAAGAAGAAAATAAAGGACAATACAAAAAAGGATATGATGAAAGAGAAAAATTTTTTTTGAAGAGCAAGTATATAAAGCAAAAGTTTAAAAAGGTCGTCGTTGTTATAGAAAATAAATATTAGTGCTAGAGAGCGAGATTTGCAAAAAACCTTGACCTTGATTTCGGTTGGGTACCTTGACCAGATTCTTGACCTTGAATCAAGGAAAGATCAAGGAACTCTGAAAAATGCCTTGATCTGGACTTCTGGATTCAGGAAAAATCAAGGTCCGTATCCAGATCCAGCTCTCTCTAATTTTAGTATTAAATTAATTTTTATTAAAAATTATTTTTCTGGTGATGGTTCAGGCGATTTTTCATAACGAGATTTATTTAGTTTTGTTAAACGATTTCGAGCTTCTATCAATTCTTTTTCTTTTCGAAGCACTTCTTCTTGTGCATCCATTACTTGGGCAATACCCGTTACCATTCCTTTTTTTGAAATATTTTTTTAGAAAAATTTCAAAAAATTTTCTCTCTTACTATCAGAAATCACCAATCCACGACAATCATTTTCTGTAATTGCTTGTCTAGCTGCGTTTACCAAATGTTCCGTTGCCACTTTTACAGCATGTCCGGCACTTTGGAGGCGCTGCATTGCAGAACTACCTATATCAGATTTTACTTTACATGCTACTAAAAGATGAGCGGTGGATGAAGCAACCTTTAATATAGGGTTGATTTTGGAATTATTTAGGGGAAAAATACTTGTTTTGCAGCAGCTATCAATTTTTCTTCAGTAAAGTGTCCTTGAACAACACCGTTGGCTGCTTCACATAATTGATCTGATTTATAAAAAATTGATTAGATAAATTATATTTTTAAAGAAAAATAAAAAGGCGTTCCACTTCCTTTTGAAAAATGAAAAGGAAGGTTTAACCCTAGATACCCCAAGAGAAATTTCAAGCTCGATTCCGAACGACAGGCATTTTAATCCCGAGATTATTTCTAGCGGAAAATTTTTTATTTTTTACGGGGGAGGGGGGACGGGGAATTCTCAAAAAATCTCTCAAATTCCCCAACTTCGGGGACGGGGAACAACCCTAGTGCTCAATAATCGTGGTATAATCTTTTTAGCCTTGTTTTCATTTTTAATCCCGAGATTATTTTTAGCCTTTATTTTTTAAATTTAAATCCTTGATTCCGAAGTAGGGTTGCCGTTTTCGAGTCGGGCCGACGGTCGAGTCATTTTTTTCGGGCTTCATTTTTATCGAGTCGGGTCAAACGAGTCTTTTTCGGGCCTCATTTTTATCGAGTCGGGTCAAACGAGTCTTTTTCGGGCATAATTTTTATCGAGTCGGGCATCGAGACTTTTTCGGGCCTTTTTTCAAAAAAATTTATTCAAAAAAACAAAAATAATTTTGCTTATTTGTCATCAAAAATAAATCATATTAACATTGTTTTTCATAATCTTCTTCACTAGGGTTGTTCCCCGACGGGGGGGGGGGGGGGGGGGGAGGAGGGCCACGGGGAAAATTTTCAGGGAGGCAGCGCCACGGGGGGGGGGGGTGGGGGAGGCGCCTTCTTTTTTTACGCCTTCTTCATTTTTTGCGCCGCAGGCGAAAATTTTGGGAATTTTGGAGGTCCTTAAGCCAGATTTCTTCCATTTTTTGCGCAGCAGGCGAAAATTTTGGGAATTTTGGAGGTCCTTAGGCCAGATTTCTTCCATTTTTTGCGCAGCAGGCGAAAATTTTGGGAATTTTGGAGGTCCTTAAGCCATATTTCTTCCATTTTTTGCGCAGCAGGCGAAAATTTTGGGAATTTTGGAGGTCCTTAAGCCAGATTTCTTCCATTTTTTGCGCTAAAGCTGAAAAATCTAGAGTTTTGAATTTCAAAAAATAATATCAAAGGTTTAAAATCGTCTCTTGTATTAAAAAAAGTTAAAGTAATCTGAAAATAAGTCTCAAACGATGATTAGTACTCGAACCCAACAATCCTTTAAATAAAATCCAGCGCCTTAACCACTCAACTAACCGCTCATTTAATTAGTTCTGAAAGAAAATATATTTCCCTTACTCAGTAAAAGAAATATCAAAGAGGAAGATCCAAAAGGAAATATTTATCGAGGACATTCGAGTCGGGCCAGTTTTTTCCGAGTCATTTGTTTCGGGCTTCATTTTTATCGAGTCGGGTCATACGAGTCTTTTTCGGGCCTCATTTTTATCGAGTCGGGTCAAACGAGTCTTTTTCGGGCCTCATTTTTATCGAGTCGGGTCAAACGAGTCTTTTTCGGGCCAAATATCCTAGGCCCGACTCGATCTTTCGGTCCGAGTCGGGCCATTTTGGCAACCCTATTCCGAAGGGTCAGCTCATCCCTACAAAAAGGATTTTCCCTAATAGGTATTCTCTTCGTATATAACTTACTAGTTGCTGCAGCAACAAGTGTAGCTGCTGAAACAAGTCCTAAAAATAATAAAAATATATTTATTAATCAAACGTTCAACAACCTTCAGTCCAATATTGTTCATCTTTAGTCAAAACTGCACTTGGTTCTGACATCCGTCCTTGAGAAATAAGTTCTCTTTGGGCATTATAAGCTGCCTTAAAAAATTTTTTTAGTCTTATTTTTATTTTTACAAAAAAATTTCCATACCTTAACTAATATTTGTACAGCTGTTGTTATTGATTTTGCAGCAGAAAGTATTTGTTCGTCAAAAGGTAAATTTTTTAGATCCTCATCGGCTTTCTGAAAAAGAAGAGATTTTTTTTATTTAAGAGAAATATTGAATGGATGAAATTAATATAAAAATAAAAATTGTTGCAAATTTAAAGGACAAGTAACCAGTCGGATATGCCATGCATAATGGGTTCCTCTTCAAATATTTATATTTTTTAGCGTTAAACGCAGACCCAAGAATACAAGACATATCAGAACTGATCCCGTCCAAATTTTTTTGAAGAAAATTTTTTTTGTTGTTAATTAAATTATAGAAGAAAATAATAAATATGTAGCAGAATTTTGTAGAATTTCAAGTAATTTAAAAGAAAAAATTTATTTACATGAACTTGACGTGGTCGCATCTGTGAAAGTTTGTTGGACGCCGCCTCTATTGAACTAGCAGCACCTAATAATTCATTTTCTGCCAAAAGTAGAGGTTTCTCTTCTGGATTTGGACTTGAAGAGTGTAACTGTTCGCCACAATAAGACAATTGTCCGACTAACTAAAAAATTTTAGAAAAAAAATTTTTCAACAAGCAAAAAAATACTTTAGAAATTTCTTTAGCAGCAGTTAAAACAGCCTGTTTCGTTGCTGGATGGTCAGGACGTGAATAAAGTTGTAAAATATTAACCAACAAATTCTTTAATTGTAGAGCTACTTCTCTCCCAGAATTTAACATTTTATATTTTAAATCGGGATTAGTAGCATTTAATGAGGCTGTTCGAACTGTTCCAAGTAAATCGCCAACTGATTGTCTGGCCAAATTTGCCGCTAAATTTAAATTAGTAAAAGAGTTTTTTTTAACTAAAAAACCTGCAATAACATTTTCTTGGTGTAAAAGTGAGGCAGAACCGGCAGCTTTCTCTGCTGCAACTGTGGTAGCACGACTTGCTCGAATAACATCTTCACCATTAGCTGCGTGACGAATAGGCATTTCATTATTATTATATTGCTAAAAATGAAAGCATTTCAATTTAAAATGATAAGATAGTAAAGACTCAGGGCGAATCCAGAAAGATCGTTTAGAGGATGGGGCTGATATCCAGTATTTCTCACCCAAAATTTTGCTTTCCTATCCTCCTCTCTAACAACGTAAGTGAAAGTACCCAGTTAATGATGCCCACAAGCCACGGATACGCCCCCTTGTACCTTAACAGCCAAATCAATTGCATTAATCGCTGCTTCCAATGCTTGAGCGCCTCGTTGAGATGAATCCTCGATCGTTTTGATTGCTTTTAACAAACTGCTAACATTCGAAACCATAACCTTTGCAGCTTCTTTTAAGTTTCCAATGGCCGGATCGTTTGGACTTCTTCCCGAAGCATGTGTTGTTGCTTGTATGAGATTAGAAAGAGCTGATGCAACGTCACGAACTGCATGAATCATCTGATAAATAGGTTTATGTTCTAAATTTATCGCTCAAAACAACCATGACTTGAGCTTCTGTGGAATCTGGGGAAAGTTTAGAAGCCCCACTTTTTACGGCCTCTGTTAATTGAAGAATTGAGCGAACAGAATTTTGAGCAGCAACTGCCAATTGTTCTTGATTGGACGCTGCCCCACTCACCAAAGCTTTTGTATCTTCAAAGAGCGCCTAGAAATTTAAAAATTTGCAAAAAGATTCAAAAATTTAATTAGACCTTAGCAGTTCTGAGAATAACATCACGGTGATCAACTACAGGTGGGGAAACAGCTGTAACTTCATGTTGGGCAGTAGGTGGATTCAAAGATCCAGACGTAGCAAACATTATTGTTGTGTCTAAATCACCAATGATGCCAGAAACTGTTTGGGCGGCATTAATGCAAGCTTGTGTCCCACGCGCACCTTCTGAAAGAACTACAAGTATCTCTCGAATACGTTCTTCAATAACTGATGATTGTTGTGATAATTGATTAAATATTCTCTTAAATATAACAAATCAGTGTTTCATTTAAAAAGCAAACTTGATCGTTAGGGAAATTTCGTCGCCTAGCACCAAGTTTTACCAATTCAATACAAGCCATACCCAAATTTTGTACGCATGATTTAAGCCTTTGTCCTAATTCTGAAGAACTCATCAAACTTTGTGCAACTCGTGAATCTTCGGACAAAGACCGAAAATGTTCGTCTAATTGAAGGAAAAGTTGGCCCATTTCAGTTGGTTTAGAAAGTGGGACATCTGACGCTGTTTGACCAATAATATTTAAAAGGGAAACCATTCGAGCCTGAAAGACAAGGGTAAAATCAAATTATGTGCCGATATAAAACCTGTATATCGGCCAACGAATCTCCAGGAGAAACTTGTTGTGTTTTATCAGCAACAGCAATTGAACGAGAAATTCCATCAATAAGACCACTAACCAAACCATTTTCAGAATCAAGTTGTTGAATTAAACGTTGCAAGTCAAGAAGTGCTGATTGTTGTTGTTCAGCACTCTCTTCTACAATTGTATGTAACTCCACAGCCTTTGGATTACCCCCTAAAATTTTTTTTTTCGACTAAAAAATTTTTTAAGGAGAGAAAACCAGAATCTTTAGTGGCAAACATTAATTGAATGCTTGATTCCAAAACAGTTTTACACTGTTCAAATACATTTGCTTGTGTACGAGAATCATAAGAGAGTAATGCAGCTTGAATACAAGCTTGAGCCAATGTTTGGGCTGATGCTAATTGTTGACGAACATTACGACCAATAGCTTCTGCATGACTTATAGCCTAAAAATTGCCTGGATTTCGAAAGCCTAAAAGAAATTACAGCAATTTTTAAAGGATCTATAATGTCAAGCATCTGGCGTAAACTGTGTAATATTTGTTGATGTGTACTTTCCGTAGTAGCTTCAACTCTAGGTTGTTCATTATGTGCTGCTGCCATAAAAGCATTGTCTACTTGTTGAATTAGTTGGCTGAGAATATTAATAGCTTGATCCAAATCAGCCTGTCCTGGAGCTTCATCACGTATTGCAGCTACCAAATGTTTGATTGATTCAGAAACAATACTGGAATTGTTCGCAATTTGTTGCCAAATAGATGCATCAGAAGGATTCTCGTTTAAAGCTTTTGCTGTTCTAAAAAAATTTTTTATAATGAAAAACCCCTCATAAATTACCCAATCATTTCAGAACTAGCATCCAACATTTTTCTTGATGATCCAATTAGTGGTTGTTGTGCCTGTCTTCCAGCAACAGAAATTTTAGCTGGAATGGGTCCAAAATCGGGATTATCCAAAAACTTTTGTAAATTATCCACAGAAGAACGCAGCTTGTTTATTTGAAGTAAACACTCATCAAATTCTTTATTCGAATTTTTATCAATATTTTTAACTGCAGTTATTAAAGCAGCAGTTATACTAGTCAGTTCAACAGCACTATTAACAAGTTTAGAGCGTACACTAATATTTGCAGATTTTTCTGAAGCATCACGACAAATACTGGCTAAATCAGAACTATGCATAGTGAATGTTGAGACATTCTGAGATAAATTTTAAGAGAATGATAAAAAATCTTTAGAAAATTACATCCAATAATTGCTGTTTATCACCAGAACTAATCGAATTATTTAGACGACCAATTGCCTGCTGAAGTGATTCTATAGAATATTGATATTTGTTGACATCATAAATTGCAGCTCGTCCAGGTTCACTTGAAGTATCTCCAACACCAATTAAATAAGCCTTAAAAAAGAGACGGTGAGATATTAAGAAGATTTTAAAGGTTTACGAACAGATTGAGCAGCATTCTTTGCCAATCCACAAACTGCATCTGCCACTTTACGAACAGCAAGACAAAGTTGTTCAGTATCATCTCTTCTAGCATAATGAGCCAAACCGTTCATTCCTTAAAATTAAGCTTCCTAAAGACTAAAAATATAAAGAAACCATCTCCTAAATTTCGTGCTTCGTTTGTAACTTCAGCTAAAGACTCATAATAACTATTTCCATTCAGAGGTATGCTTAATGTATAGGGTGCTGATGATTTTTCTTCTGGGCCGAAGAGATGTCTGATGGCTTTAATTTTTTGGAGAGCTTGATCACACTCTCGGACCCACGCACTGCCCGAACCATGAGTTTCTACAAGCTCTACTAAAGTCCAAACATTAAGAGAAAATTGACGGCAGGATGTTGAAAGTGCCTAGAAAATTTTTACTTTTAAATTTATTTAAGAAATTTACTTGAGACAACGAAATATTGCTTTTATCAGCTTGTAAAAATCTGAATCGGTCCAACAAATCAATTGCTTCATCTCTGATATTAATTAATCCATCAAGAGAAGATTGGTTCCTACGTTCATTTTGTCTTTGCGCAAGGTCAGCAATAATTGAATAAAATTGTCCAAAGCTGTTCGAGAAGCGTTCCACACCTTTTTGGCTCTCAGTTTCTGAAGAATGTACACAATGTAGAAGACGATCAGCATCTTCAACCAATTGATTGGCAGATGCTCGAAGATTTGTGGATGTTGGCGAAGATGGTGATGAGATTGATGTTGTTGTTAGATTGCGCAACTTTTCAATCTAAAAGAGGGCATTTAGACGATTCTTTAAACAGTTACTAACAGCCTGTTCAACGTGTACATCGCCAGGAAGTGCAGCTAGTGTTCTTCTGAGCGACTCAGTTACCGTTCTAGCTGCTTCTTCTAATTGTTGGGAGTTACGCTCACGAATACGATCAAAAATACGGCTTGAATCATGGACTACAGACCTCGCATTCAAAATTAAACTTAAAGGGAGAGGTTATAAAAATACTCTTTAAAAACTCGTATAAAACCTTTCCAAAGAAATTAAATCCCTTTTTTGTTCTTGTCGTGCAGCAACGACGTCCGTAACTGATTCAGTAAAATCTCCAAGTGACTGCACAAGCTCCATAGAAGCTATACTTACTCGCCGGCGTTCAGAAGCATATGCTGCAGAAACCATTTGGGCTACCGCAGAATTTAATAATCTCGATTGTTTTCTCAGAGAATTTGTAGTCCCTTCAATATCAAGAGAAGAACAGGAATGTTGAACTGGATATCCTGAACGAATTTGTTGGGCAACCTGTTGTAATTTGTGATCCAATGAATTTATAAATTCTTCAGAATGTTCGAGATAAGGTTCAAAATCTAATTGTTGTGCATTATTTACTGCTGTTCTCAATTCAGCAACATATACCTAAAATTTATTTTTTAACAGAAAAATTCCTTCTAAACCGAAAGTTGTTGGCTAGTCCGTAAAAGAATGCCAGAAGCATGTTTATCTTCAACATAAGGAACAGCTGATCGACTAAGATCTACCAAATTTGCAGATGGTTGAACAAAAGCTTGACATTCATGAATTAATCCGACATGCTAAAATGAGTATAATTGTTTCTAAATTTATAGAAAAAGTTGTCCAACCGCCTTAAAATGTTCAACAGGAGTTTTAGCATTTTGATTTTCTTTGATTCTCTGAACCAATGGAGGGACATATCTACCAGTATTTACACATTCTTGGACTAAAACGTGAAGGAATTGTTCGTTGTGAATATGAGGGCGAGCCTTTGAAAATATTTTTAGATTAAAAAATTTTTTGTCTCATACCGAATTTGCAGCAGCAATTGTTTGAGTAGTGGCAGACGCAACTTCTTTGGCCACTTTTTCCAATTGTTGTATTGTTTGTCTTATTTGTCTATCAATCGTCGCATGGTTAGTTGCCTAGAATATCAGTATATACATTCAAAATGTGATTAAAGAACACATCAAAAATACAAAAAAATGTGTTAGATCACCCCAATAATGTTAAAAATAAATCATCAAAAGAAAAGAGAAGTTTTCAAAGTTCCAGCTGAATGAGGTCTGCCAAAGCCATGTTATATATTAAAATTAAAGCGAAACAAAACAAAGTATAAGACACAGCAAGTTAAGAAAAAGTATAGGGAAAAATCTCACCCAAAAAGGTGCAGGACATGAACCGCATTAAAGCTTCCGATTTGACCATAATTTTGTGTAAATACCAATTTTTTATCAAGGCAATTTTTAGAACAAATTTATTTTTTATAAATTCATACTACATAAAATGACAGAAGTATGTATTTTGGATTAGATATAAAAGGAAGATATGTGTGGGAAACAAAGTAATATATAGAAGAAAATGATTAATTTCCATGTTAATGTAATAAAAGCAGATGATTCAAGTAAAGTAACTTAAACTTATTGTTAGCAAAAGGTCCAAGATAGAAGATGAGAATGAGCATGGTAGTTAATATATGAGCATATTAAAGTTAGGATTTTAACTAGAAATCGAGACTTGATGCATAAAGGCCACCCCCTTTAATAATAACTCCGAGATTTAACAAATATTGCAATATATTATAGAAAATATGTGATTAGACTAGAGAAACTAGATAATGTATTAACTTAATATTATTATTCTACTAAAACTAAAAAGTCTAAAATAAGATAGAAGGAAAGATTTAAACAAAAATATAGCCTTTTAATCTGATAAATGGCTTTGGCACCATTTTGTGACCTATTCAGCTGGCCTTTGCTTCTCTACGACGATTTGCTTGCTAAATTACAATAATAAAAATAAATATAAAATACTTGCTTAACATATATTTTAAAATTTTTTAAAGGAACCTGAACAAGTTGTGACGTTGCACTTTTAAGCGCTAGCTGCGGTTCAGCCTCTCCCGGACGATTTTGACATTCTTTGGTAGCATCAATCATTGAACTCGTTGCTTGCGCCACAGAACCTTCAAAAAATTAAATTTTATTAACTAAATAAATTTAAAAATAAATACGTGCTGCATTCAGTAACTTCTCCCTTTGTTGAACTGAATCGAGTTTATTAGCTTCCTGTTCCATTCCATCAACCAACATTTGTGAATTTCGAATTGCTGTTTCAGAATAACGGAATAATTCAGGAGGAGCACCTCCGGGATGTGCCAATATACGATTAGACGACTCAACAATTTCTACAAAAAACAGAAATCGGTCAGCTAAAGACAGGTAAACAAACGTTCAAATGTGTAATCCTGTTGCGTTTTCCGATGATATCCCCAAGGACCGCCTTGCACATGTCCAATTATATCATCTAAAGCATTAGTAACACGTGACGCAGATTCACGTAAATGCTCAAAGTTTTCAGCTTTTTCAGGTGGAGCTTGTTGTGAGGCTTTGCTTGCATCTTCCAAAAGTTCGTGAACTGCTCTAGCTACGCAATGTGCTGCATCCGTTAAGTGTTCTTTGCATGGTGGATGTTCGATTGTTGGACCAACAACTCTGGTACATGCAACCAATTCCGAAGTTGCATATGCTGTCTTCATTGCACTTTGGATCACTTGATCTTTTAGTCCAGGGTCATCACAGTCAGCAGAAACCGTTTTTGCTCTTTATTAATTAAAAAATCATTTTAAGTCCTAACAAGCATTCTTACTGCAATACAAGCTGTGCTGTACTTGTTGCAACGGCACGAGCCTTCCTATTGAGTTCATCATGGAAGGAAAGCTCTTCCTCAGTCCTCTCTTGAATTGTACTTAAAACATCATTAGAAAGTTCACCAACACGGCTGGCTGCAGAAAGAATATTTGCACGTTTTTCTTGATGTTCTGGGTGAACTTTATCCAGGAAAGTTCCAAAAGCATTGCAAAGTTTTCGGGCAGCATCGACTAAATCGCCAGCACGATGTTCATCAGGCATTAGAGCCGCCAATTCACGGACTCCCCGACCCATTTCTGGAAGGTTAGAACCAATTGTGGCTATAGCATTCCCTACACGAGTATCGACAGCTGATTCTTCCGGGATAGCTGTCAGTTGTACTACCTAATATTTTTAATAGAAATTTTCTATTTCATCAAATTTTACTTCAGCTGTAGCAGCACCCATTGCCGCCAATCTATCACCAACAGATTCCTTTTCAACTTCTACCCTCCAATGACGTTGAGTTTCTCCAAACCTTGGAAGATCAATTTGTGGGGGTTTGGCAATTTCCTCTTCAGCCTCTTCAACAGCCCTTATAGTCGCTTCAATAGTTCCCACAAGCGCTCGTTGGCTCCTTTCTCTAGAATCCAAATAACGAATATCTTCACCTTTAGGCATTCTCTGTGCTAATATCATTCCACTTACTCCTCCATATTGGGGTGCTAAATATTAAATTTTATAACACAGAATTCCCTTCAAAATAACCCTGTGGAGGAGTTCCAGTTTCTGGCCTATAAATTCCATACATTGTACCTCCCGGTTCTTGAGCAATTATCGGTGTCGGCTCGCTATGGGCAAGCAATGTTGCCCTCGCTGGAGCGACAATATCCTCCACCTTTAAGTAAAGTTAATTAAAAAATAATTTGAGGATAACCATAGTTGCCCCTTCATCTCCTTCAATTCCAGTATGGTCGACAATTCTTTTTTTCTTTAATATAATATCAATATAACCGCCAATAAGTTGTCCAATTCTTTCGCCTTCCAATGTTTGAACAGAATAATATCCATCTTTATAATCACCAAAATCCAAGGTGAAAGTTTTGTATGAAGCAGCCCATCGACGTACCTAAAAATATTTAAAAAAAGTTTTCTCATCTTATAACAAGGGGATATCAAAATTTTTTGGCAGCTAAAAGAAAAAAACGTTAGATGGCCCAGAAGGCAGAAAATCCCCTTTTAGAGCCGCCGATTAAAAATTTTTTTTGAGATTTATTGGTGATCCACCTTTTTTGCTCATTTAGGGGAGAGAGAGTTGCTCAGCAGTCTTCCGAGTTTTGACTTATAAATCCGCAAAAGAAATTTACTTGTTCTAATGGCCATTCTTTCAAAACGGCTTTAGTTCGTTCGTCCACACGCATCACAGATTCTTTATTAACGCCCAATAAACGTGGAATAAGCTTGTTTTTCCCGGGCATTTTTTCTTTAACCAAAAAGAAGGAAACTCCATAAGTTGGCAATGATTGACATAATTCACAATATTTCTTTTTTGGGGCAGCAGAATCTTCATAAATTAATTCACGATATTCCTGTAAAATATAAACTTTTTAAAATTATTTTTAAAAAGTGGCAAGTCTCGTTTATAATTAACGGTTCTAGGGAATTTTTTTTGATATCCATAATTCTGTAAAAATGTTTGGGGTTGAGACATGGAAAACCAGGTTTCTTCCGACTAACAATAAACCCAAGAATAAATGACCAGGCTTGAACACTCATATAAAAGCTTACAAAGGCTTACATATAACAGTGCTTGAACGCTTCTGTTAATTATAGTACCTCGTAATTCGAGGACAAAATTAGGGGGATATGAGCAAATTTGATTCCAAGCGCTGCAAATGACCATCAGTTATGTAATTCACAGAGGATGGTCAAGCTTCTACAGGTCCAAACCTCTACAATATTACATAACCCAAAAACACCTATAAAACCCATGAATGAATGAAAAAATGGGAGAAAACGGACGAGACTATGTAGTACTAAAAATTTTCAATTAGAAATTACTTGTATAATATTTTTTTCAAGTTCTTTCGCCCTCGAATATTCTTTTGGCAATAAATTTTTTGCATCAACATTTCTCTGTATTCCTTCTTCAAAAGGTCCATATTCAATATAACATTGCAACGCTGCCAATTTAATTGCCGTATCTCTACTAACTGGATGTAAACCACGAAGAACTCCATCACGGCATTGAATATATAACTTTAAAAAAAATTAGAAAAAATTTTTTTGAGAAAACCAAATTTAATTGGACAGGATCTCTTGTATCCACATTTGTATCAGAAAAGAAAAATTTCCTTCTTAAAGTTAATTCTTCATTATCGCCAATATTTTGCTCACGTAAAGTTTTTGAATGATCAACCCAATGAATTTCTTCTTCTGTGTGTAGTTTTGCTCTGAAATTTTTTTGTTGAAAAATTGTTATTAATTTTTGTTAAATTCCAAATATTAATTCTAAATCGAATTTCAAGTCGAATACTTGGAATTCGAAATTTATTCGATTTTACAAAAAATGATGATCCAAATTCGAACTCAAAGTATTTATTTATTTATACGAACAAACACAATTAAATTTAATTGGGTTGGCCACTGGAATTATCCTATCGAACATTCAATCGACCAATCTCTAATCTAATGAAGGGGAGAGAGTTACAGACAGAAAAATTACTCAGAAAAAATTTGAAAAAGTCATGTCTTCCATACAAATTCCAAAAAATTAATTTAATTTTACTAAACTATTAAAAAAACTTTATAAAATTTTAACCTTAATTGCTGTATTTGACGTTCCTTTTTACGCCCAATTGTATTCATAAAAGTATTTTCTATACCCCCTTTTCCTTTCTGGTAGCTTCTTGTTCCCCCATCATATTGATCTGTGCCGTTTGAATATGGGGTTCTTTCCCTGTCATTTCTTTGAATTTGTTGATGTTGATCACGTCCGTAGCCATTCTCATCATTTCCATCTAATGCAGGGGAAAATCCTCGAACAAGTGAATATTCGTCATGATTTGCAATACCCATTTTTGAACAAATAACAACCTTTAAGTTGATATTATGAAGTCGGGTAATAGTCGGTTTCGTACCGCCCCCCCCCCACTCTTTTTTCTGACCATTTTTTCATTTTTCCTTCCCTTTCCGGAGGTGAATCACATATTTTTCATGAGGCAGACGGGCCTCATCTTAGAATAACACCAAAATTGGATACTAAATTTAAGAATCCCTTTAAAATTTGCTTAGCCACTAGACTGGAGCTTATGGTACACCTTGAACAAGATAAAATTTCTCAAAATTTTCGCCTACGACCCTAAAAGAATAAAAATATACACCAAAAAATTTTTGCGTTCACAACGCCAGTAATTTTGGCGCACACATCTTATTTTAGACCTAAATGAAATCCGAACCAGAGCTGGTCGAAAATTTTTCGTTTCGTTTTCGTCGAGAGCGAAATTCTATTTTCGCCCAGCTCTGATCCGAGCCCTGGATACGCCCTTGGAATCCTTTTCTCCAGGAAGTGAATCATATAGAGAGGTTTTTAAGTTTTTAAAGGTCAATAATAAAATTTAAACCATTAATTGAGAAACTGGTTGTGACTCATCAACAAAAATTGTTTTGACTGCTCCACCGTCTAATGTTCTCACTCGAAGTGACCGAATTTTGTTTTTGTATTCCAACGTGTCCTAATTGTAGAAAAAAATTAAAAAAAAATTTTTCCACATAAAACTAACCCCATTACGAATCAAATAATATTCCAAAGTTCGCCCATTTTCCATCCAAACACACTTTGTTGGGTCATCTTCTACCCGAAAAAGGCCGTAATCGTTAGCTTAAAAATTAGATAGATGTAGAAAATACTAGAAAAAACACCCACGATTTCCATGCATTGGACCTAATTTATCCCTAACCATTCGGCAAGCGTCGTGGACGAGCGTCCTTGGTTCAAACTGCATTGTTTTCTTGATAGCCTTTTCATGGCATTCGATGTTTAATGTTAACACACCCATCTTGGCTATGCTAGTTTGCTGATAATAATTGGTGTTGTTCTCAGCTAATCACTCGAAAACGTTGATTTACAATTCTCTACTAACTAACGATAAATAAATAAAAAATCTGGCCTAGAATGGAAAGAAAATTTTAGATAAATTCTAAAATTGAGAAATTTGAAGTCTGGGGACAGTCCGCAACGTAAAAACTTGCGCACCAGTGCTGGGCTAATTTCGCATTTCGCATTTCGCATCTTTCGCTTTCTTCACATTTTTCAGCGCGAAAAGTTTCGCATTTCGCTTTTTATTTAGATTTCCCCAGCCCTGTTGCGGACAGTCCTAATTGCCCTGAAGGGCGCTGTAACAATGAAACAGCAAGACAAAAGGTACAGCAAAACAGCTGGACAATGACAACAATTGAATAAAGAATCACGGGTAAGTGCATTTTAAAGGAGTTCAGATCCCGTCAAGGACAATAATTTTTCTAATTTAATTTTTCATAATTACGACAAGCTTCCGTATCCGGGATTATGTAGAAATTAAGCTAGTACATATTTAAAAACCAAATACAAATAGCTAATTCATTCACAAATTAGTGAAGAGAATAAACCAGATGGACATAAAGAAGTCATTGGGAATTGAGCATAAGACTGGATTAGAGATTGGATTTGGAGAAATAGGCTGTGTATAGATGAGTAGAGAAGGGCTATAATTGTTGCTGTTGAATGGCCTTATTTAGTTAAATTATCCAGAACAGATCCTTTGTTTCCAATGGATCTTTTGGATAAAGTATACTGAAGTCGCTTGTAGACTGTATTTAATACCGTCAAACCTAACTGTAAGATACCCCCAATACTAGAAACCCTCTGTTTAAGAGACGCTTTTTAAATATTTGGTTGGCTACTGGATAGAGAGAAGCTTCCTAAGGGAAACTCTCTATTTAAGAGACAGCTCATTATAAGAGACAATTTTCAACCCAAAGATGCATCCAAAAGAGAGCAAGATCCCCCGATACTATGTAGATAAACCTCTATTTAAGAGACGCTTTTTAAGTTTGATTGGCTGCTGGATAGAGAGAAGCATCCTAAGAGATACCTTCTATTTAACATACAGCTCATTATAAGAGACAATTTTTCAGCCCCAAAGATATCTCCATAAAGAGGTTCACCGGAAGTTCCGGTTCCAGTTCCGAGCTGGAGAGCTCCGGTTTCGGGATACGGAACTCAAATTGGGTCCGGTTCCGGCCAAAATTTCTGTTCCTATAAGTGAGGTCCGACTGTACAATTCCTTCAAATATAAAACAAAATCTAACAAAAATTACGCTAAAAACAGAATGTGTATGATCGACTTAAATATAAAATATGTAGCAACTGTTTAGTTGTCAGAAATGTAAAAGAATTAAAGGCATTTACCTCCACCGGACAATCGTCCAAAAATAAAAAGATGGCCAAGAAAAAAAAAGTAAAAATGTTGAGGACCACACTTTTGGATTTATTTTCTCTTCATTCTCCACCTGGCAACGTTTGGTGTTGGATAAAAGATGCTCTAAAATAAGCAGCAAAAGACGACAAAAAGTAGGAGGCTATGTGGTTATTTGTTAGGGGCAGCTATTTAAAGCAAAAATGAGTGGACGACTATTGGCGGGAGTGCCAACAAAGAATCGAAATTTTGGGCACTGCTTTTATTTTTAAAGAGTTTGGAGGGCGCTAAAGGATTGAAATCCTTAAGGAAAAGAAGGGGGAAAAACCATGCCAAATTGTCATGGCATTTTTGTGGAAGCATCAAACAGAGTTTTGTGCTTTTGGCTGCTCCCTTCCTTTTTTACTTTATTTTTTCTCAAAAAAGAGAAAAATACCGATGAAATAGCTGAAAAATGGCGCAAAATGAAGTAGGAGGGATGAGACTATACCAAGACTTTTTTTAACGCTTTTTTAAAAGCTAAAAATATATATAGACAAATAAAAGTATGTAAAAGGAAGTCGAACCGCTTTATAAGATAGTTCCAATAATGGATGCATCTCCATTTAAGAGACGATTTCAAAATTTGGTTGGCCATGAATAGGGGGACCTTGATATCTCCAAGTTAAGATAAACTCATTGTAGGATAAAATTTTCGCGTGGAACGCCGAACGCTAAACGCCAAAAATAGGCCAAAAATGGACGCCAAACGCAAAACGCATGACGCTCAGCCCTGACGCCGAGGGTGGCTGAGCGTCATGTGAGGTCCGACTATATAGGGTATATCTGGCTTGTTTTGGCAAGCGATACTCTCAAGATACCGTATACGCTCAAATAAATACCTTGTGTAATTATTGCTTCAACTCATGCTAGAGGCAGGGTGGCCCTTTTACCCTATTTCTAGAGGATTTTCCCTATTTTTGACCTTTTTGCCCTATTTTTTCCCTATTTTCTCATTTGCCATATTTTTGCCCTATTTTTACAATCTTGTAAAATTTAAAAAATTCTTCGGATTTTGTTTAAAAAATGGTAAAAATGAAGGATTTCTAACTTCCTGGCCTTCCAAAATCTTCAAAATTTTTGCCCGCGGCGCAAAAATGGAAGAAATTTGGCTTCAGCCTCCCAAAATCCTCAAATTTTTGCCTGCGGCGCTAAAGATGGGTGAAATGTGGCTTCTTGGCCTTCCAAAATTTTCGCTTTATTTTAAATTTTAATTATGTTTAAGCTTTTAAAGCTATGCCCTAATTTTTGCCCTATATTTGGCCGATTTCGCCCTATATTTGCCCTATTTTTAAGTGGCTGCGCCCTATTTTAGTGTTTTGGAAGGGGCCACCCTGGCTAGAGGGGGTAATTAAATGAGAAGGGGAAATTATTGAATTTTGACGGTATATTGTTGACAAATTTGTTTTGAAATTTTTAATCGGAAATTTAATAAAAATGAACAAATTTTTGATTAATAAGAGTAAAAAATATAATTTTTGGAATTAACAAAACTTAAAGTTTTTGAACACGTTTTCCTCTCTAACACAAAATGTGTGAAACATTTATTGAAGAAATTTTAGGAAGGTAAAAAACAACAGTTGTGTGTTTCTAGCCATAAAAGTAGGCAACACTAAAAACTGAGTCATTGCATGAAAGGACAGACGACTCTCTCCTTCTTCATTTTTTAGTCATTCTCTCCCTTAAAGCCTCAAAAAATCTTTTTTTCTTCCTTCATAGAGACAATCAGCGCCATCAGAAAACAAGGCTTAGTTGAGGAATTAAAGGACTTTAGGAAGGACCAAAACTGCTAAAAGGCTAAAAACTCTCTTGGCAATTTTTGGAGGGTGGAAATGTGTGTGTGTCTGTTTCTGATATATTTTTAGGGAGAGGAGGGGGGATGAGGGGTAGTGGGGGGGGGGGGAAGCTAGGGAGGGAGAGTGGGGTAGCAGGGAGGGAGGGGAGCTTCTTCATCTAAATATACGAGAAGGAAGATAAAGCAGGACTTAGATTAAAAGCAAAAGACAAGAGTAGGGGAAATATAGTTAAAGAACAAAAAAAAGCAAAAAATAGGGCAATTTTATTTTTAGTTTTTTCTTGAAGAAAATATCCACACAATTGGTCTTGAAAAATATTGAAAGAAGAAAAGAATTCATTTTTGTTACCCTAGGGATTTATTTTTTGTAAAAATATTATTTTTAGTATTTTCTGATATTTTTGGTTGCTTTATTGACCAATCACTCAAATAATATTTTTAATTTTTTATAATTTGTATACATAGTATACTAAATTGAAAAATTTATTTTATTAGTTATTTTTTTATAATTTTGTTTTTAAAAATTAAATTTGTTAATTTTGTAAGACACTTAAGATAAATTTACCTTTTTACCCTCGCTTCTAGATCAGAGCTGGACGCAACTGAAAATTCCGCAGTCGCAGTCCGCTGGGCCAAAAAACGCAATTTCGAGCAATCCGCAATCCACAGTTGCGTCCAGCCCTGTTATAGATACAGATACCGAAAAAATCGTACTTTATGAGATATATCTCAAATATGACGAAAAATGGATGGATATGGCAGATCGGGAAAATCAAATTAAAATCAAATAAATCGACGAAAAATTATCAAATATTTGATCAAATATATAATTTTTCTCTCCAAATCCTTTGGCTTCATTTTAAATCCCCTGATATCCTACTTAATCCCTCCAAATCTCATGGAGGATTGGAAAGACCTCAAATCTCATGACATCATCTCAAGTAGAGAAAAACACCTGTGGATTTGGGGTGAGGGGCGGTATGAAGGATATTATGAGATTAAAAGGATGTGGGGATGATATCGAAGTATTGAAGGATTAAGATGGAGTAGAGGGAGTTGCTAACCAGATTAAAATTAAATTTCAATGTCCATAGTAAAAATAGGTTCCTAAGAATTCAAAATTAAAAATCATTTAAAAATCTTAAAAATTTATTTATTCTTTATTTTTTAAAAATAAATGGAGACAAAAAAATGTGGCAGAGGCAAGAACAATAATGAAAAATAATGCAAAATACAACTTTTTAAAAAAATAAAAATTTTCGAGAATTATTGAGCAGTTAAATTTTATTTTCTGCAAAAAATAACTAAAAAATTTTCTTTAATTTTTGAAGTAGAAATTTTCTGATTTTTTAAAATTAATTTTTAGAAAGAATTGAGAGAAGAAAAACACCAAGAAAGAAAATATGGGTTTTGCATTTTAATTTCAATAATAAAAATCAAGCAAATTTCAACGTCCGTAGTAAGGCCAATAAGCCTGAAAATTGAATAAAAAATAGTTCCATCGAATCTTGTTATAGTATACCCACACGAACGTACATATCAGAGGTCGGTCGGAAATGAAGGTGTCGAAAAGTGGTACTGTCAGAAATAGGAACTGTCGGAAATCGGAACTGCCGGAAACCGGAACTGTCGGAACTTGGAACTGTCAGAACTCGGAACTGTCAAAGTTGGAACTATCGGAAATCGGAACTGTCAAAAATTGAAACTATCGGAAATTGGAACTGTTGGAAATCAGAATTCCGACCAACCTCTGGTACATAGATGTAAGCGTAAGAGATCTCAACTCTATAGTTTCCATATGGACTTATATTAGTATACCTAACGAGATTCGATTTTATTATAGGTTTTTTAAATAAATTTGAATTTTACAAGCTTAAGTTATAGCAAATTAAATGTCGTTAAAGCTTAACTAATTTTGCAAGGCTGCATGTGTGGGCTTCTAATAAAGCCGGGTTTTAATTAATCCATTTATGGCATATTAAAATATATTTTTATTTTTTAAAATTTATTTGAACAAAAAATTTACATAAGGATTGTATGAAAGTGTAGCCATTTGTTGTTCTTTACTAGGTTGTTCCATAGCTGCTCGTCTACTGTGTTTACTAGCTTTTTTTGAATGCAAACAGGAAAGACAATTTGTGACACACATTGGCAATAAAAGTATTAAGCTAACTAGAGCTGCGGCTATTATCTTTTTTTTAATTAAAAAAATATTTTTTGGATTAAGGAAAACCTATCAACCTCTAGAAGGGTCTTATTTTAGGGGGGCTTATTTTGGTGGGGGCCTATTTTAGAGGAAATACGTATCAGTCATCTAATACTGAATGTATCTTATCGAGAAGGTATCTGATAATGAAGTAAGTGTACTAAGGAGGGGAGGGGGAAGAGGACAGAGACGGGGAAATTTTTTGCAAACAGCCCTGATCCGGATATCCATAGATTTCGACATCGATTTGCCACCCAAAAATTTTAAATACCATATTTCCGAAAATAAAACCCCACCTTGAATTAGAAGCCCACCTTAGACCTTAAATAGAGGTGTATTTATTAAAGTTGGCGGACCCGAAATCTGAACCCGAAAAAAGTCTGGATCTCTGGCATATTCGGTTTGGATATCGATTCCGTATCCGGATCAGGGCTGTCCGCAATTGCGTGTTTTTTGGACTTGCGGAGTGCGCAAATTTTTTTGATTTGCGGAAAGTTCGATCCGAAATCTGGATACCCGAAGATTTCCGATAATCTTTAATTAAAATTAAAAAATTAACCACAAAAATAGCAATAGTTGCCCATAATTGTAAACGAATACCACATGTTAAATTACCTTCATTTAAAAAAATTAGAAATAAAAAAATTTTATGCTAACATTGTGGTGCATTTTTTCCAATTGAGCGAGTAGGTGCGTTCACGCAAGCTCCATAAGTGAATAAAGAAATATAATAAAACTCCTAAAAAAATTTTTTAATAATTTTATTTTTAATTATAGTACAACGTCCCATTTATGGGGACAAATTGTGATTATGTGGGGGATGTGTGGGGGGACAAATGTGGTAGGTGGAAATTGGGGGACAAAAGATTAAAGGACAAATGTGATGGAGGGGGGATCTCACGTATACTCTCCCATATCTCACCTATACGACACTCCCACATTAACGGAACCACGATTTCAAAAACACTCTCTAATTAACATAAGATGTCGAATAAAAGGGTCCCTCTTTGTTGTATAAAAATTTGATATTCCAACCTTATCGCACTCCTCCTCGCATTGGTCCCTTCCAGTTTTGTTATAAAAACTAAAAAAAATTTTTTTGTAAAAAAATTTTATCACGTTTTTAGAATGTTTGATAATTTTTTTAATTAAATGATTTATATGTAAGTTTCTATAGCAAGGCTCTCCGTAATCAGAAAATCCTTAATCAGCTAATATCCACAGTTGCGGATAGTCCTCTAATACTGCTCAGAAATGAACCGAAAATTCAGAATCAAATTCTAAAAATTTTTGGAAAAAGAATTCAGAACGTCCCGATAGGGGTCTCCCAAAATAAAATTGAAAAAAAATAAATTTCTTCATAACCCCTTATAATTAAATTTTTAAAAATAAATATATTTTTTAATTCACACACTTTTTTCTTTTGTTTTTTCCACTTCCGTTTAAACCAAATCTTTTTTTCATAGAAAAAGATGGATAACCCGTTTAATCTTTTATTTTAAAAATTGGGTTAATGTCTATTATCAAATAAATTTTAAGAAAATAAATAGTGATAAAAATGTCCTTTAATGAAAAAAAATAAAAAGGGATTAAAGCACAAAAATTGCGTGGAATAAAAAAATTTTTTAATTTAGAATGAATTTAAAAAAATACTTTTAACACATAAATTCAATTATTTAATAATATAGATAGTCCTAAGAATTTATTTAAAAAATGTTGGCAGGGTCAGGGTATCGAACCCGCAACCCCTCTCGTACCAATGCAGAAGCATTACCGACTACGCCAACAAGGTAATATCTCTTTCTAAAGTTTTCTCTCAAATATAGGTTTAAATTTATTTAAAATTAAAATTTTAATTAAAATTTACCCTGAAGGGCATCCACCTTCTGTTGCTTCTTGAGAATCAACTAAAGTAGTAAAACAAAAAAGCAAAAATATATGGGAGAAAATAAAAAGAAAAATTAAAGATTTTTTATTAAGTATTTGTAAAAAAGAATTTAATAATATTCTAATAGTCATTCGAAAAATTGAAGGTTTTTTCTCGTTTCTAAGAAAGAAAAGGTATTTAAATAATACCTGAAATTAAAAAAAATTTTAAATTGTTATTAAAAAATAAATAACTATAATTAAAATTATAAAAATGGGTAGGAATGGATTTTGCCAAATTTTAAAATACGGCAGACGGAAGAGAACCCATATCAATTAAAGACGTGTGAGACAAGAAAATTTCCCCAATAGCTGGGAAATACTTCAAAAATATCAGTTATCGAGATTATTATTCGAAAAATTCTCTCCAGTTATCCTCTCCCTCCCAAATCCGGACTCTTTATTAAAAGTCGAATCTCTTTATAAGTGACTGTAGGTCAGGGATGCACGCAGTTGCGGGTTGCGGAATCTTTTTTTTCAATTGCGTGCAGCCCTGCTGTAGGTATAATAAATGCCTAGTCGATACGATCTCTTAACAATATAACGTGTATAAAATTTTTAGATTCATTTTTATAAATTATTTGATGTTTTAGTTAACACTATTTGGAGTATAAAATTAAAAAAGAAAAAATAAGTTTAATATTTGTAAAATATTTTTTAATTTTTTTTTTCATCTTTGGGACAGGGTTTTTGAGGATTATTGAGGATTTGAAGTTTAAATTTAAAAAAAAATAAAATAATAAAAAAAAGTTTATTTATTTATTTTATAAAATTTTTCGGCGCAAAAGAAAATTTAAAAAAGTACTTAAAATTGAACACAAGTATTTTTAATTTTTAAAATAAAAATGAAAATTTAATTGAATGTAAAATTTAAAGAAAAAACACGTAAATTTAAAATACTTTAAAATAGTTAAAGAATTATTTGTGTATTTACTATTTTTGTAAAATTATCAATTTATTTTTTTTTATAAATTTAAGAGTTTTTTCTTGCAAATAATGATATACATTTATAATTTTTTTAAGGAATTTAGTTAAAAATTTATTTTTAATTAAGAAAATGAAAATAAGAAATAGAGAATGAGAATTTTCCTTTTTCCTTCAGGTCTTTAAAAATAAAAACAAAATTCGACCGAATAAATGCGAATATCTCGAATTCAATACTACGAACTTCAATCGGCATTTTATTGTGAAATCAAAAAAATTTCGGATTCAAAGTATTCACTTAATACCAGAGGTGGGCCGAATTCCGATTTCCGAAATTTTGGAAAAATTTCGGAGTTCCTACTTTTGAGCCAGTTCCAATTTCCGGCTAATTCCCATTTTCTCCGATCCCCAACTATAACGAGATTAGGCTTTGTAGAATTTTTTCTAAGTAAATAAATTGCCAAAAAAACATCGATTTAATAAATTTTAAATAAATTTATTTTTAGAAGAATATTTGCCTTTTTACTTTTTTTTATTTGTCCAACCAGCGTTCGGCGCGAATTGCTGACATGTAAATAAGCTTTTTGGGTATAAAGGCTGACTCCAGCGTTATTACAACTGATTTAAACTAATTTGGATCAATTTCCCAGTATTTGAAAATTTCAGACTCAAATGTCCATTCTCAAACTCAAGTGACACCTTTGAAAATATTTTCATTCAACTCCTCATTCAATTCCCCATCGAATGACACCTCAACCATCTTTCTATAACTAATACTTCAAAAGTTATAAACTTTTGAATTTAAGTCATAAATAAACATGCGGGCCTTCGGCCCGCATGTTTTCTGCTACACGTTCCGAGTTAAAAAATATTTTCAATTTTTTCCGGCAACGCGTTATCTGCAACGCGTTCCGAATTTTTATTAAAAAATTTTCAAGTCTGGCGGTTGCCTCCGGCAACGCGTTTTCTGCAACGCGTTCCTAATTTTTAGAAAAAAATTTTCAAGTCTGGCGGTTGCCTCCGGCAACGCGTTCCGTATTTTAAAAAAATAATTTTCAAGTCTGGCGGTTGCCTCCGGCAACGCGTTTTCTGCAACGCGTTCCTAATTTTTAGAAAAAAATTTTCAAGTCTGGCGGTTGCCTCCGGCAACGCGTTTTCTGCAACGCGTTCCTAATTTTTAGAAAAAAATTTTCAAGTCTGGCGGTTGCCTCCGGCAACGCGTTCCGTATTTTAAAAAAATAATTTTCAAGTCTGGCGGTTGCCTCCGGCAACGCGTTTTCTGCAACGCGTTCCTAATTTTTAGAAAAAAATTTTCAAGTCTGGCGGTTGCCTCCGGCAACGCGTTTTCTGCAACGCGTTCCTAATTTTTAGAAAAAAATTTTCAAGTCTGGCGGTTGCCTCCGGCAACGCGTTTTCTGCAACGCGTTCCTAATTTTTAGAAAAAAATTTTCAAGTCTGGCGGTTGCCTCCGGCAACGCGTTTTCTGCAACGCGTTCCTAATTTTTAGAAAAAAATTTTCAAGTCTGGCGGTTGCCTCCGGCAACGCGTTTTCTGCAACGCGTTCCTAATTTTTAGAAAAAAATTTTCAAGTCTGGCGGTTGCCTCCGGCAACGCGTTCCGTATTTTTAAAAAATATTTTTATTTTCTGGCGGTTGCCTCCGGCAACGCGTTTCTGCAACGCGTTCCGATTTCTTCAAAAAATAATTTTTAAGTTTGGCGGTTGCCTCCGGCAACGCGTCTTCTGCAATGCGTTATAATTTCCTTAAAAAAATTTTAATTCTGGCGGTTGCCTCCGGCAACGCGTTCAAGGCATCGCGAATAACATTAAAATTATTTTTCAGAAAAGTATTCAAAATTAGCATTTTTACAAAATTTTCAGTCTCAGACTCAAATTTAAAAATGAGACTCAAGTGTCCTTTTTCTTAAAAAGTTATTTTTTAATTTTCCCATTAATTTTTAGAATTTTTAAAATTAATTTCCACTGATTTTATCCTTCAGACTCAAATGTACCACACTCAGACTCAAGTGACCCCTTCGAAAATATTTTTAAAAAATTTGCCTGATTTTTCCGCGTTGAATGACACCTCATTCATATTTTTCCGATAACTACTTCAAAAGTTACAAAAAACTGCTCAGCGTTGCTTAACTTTCCAGATCGGACGGTCTAGATCGTCAAAATTAAAAAGTTTTTCCCAAAATTTTAATTTCTTAAAAAATTCATAACTCGGTCCAAAAAACTCATTTTAACACAAAACAAAGCTTATTCGATGCAGAATTTAATTCTCTATTTTTCATCTCCCAACACTTTTTTCATATCGTGAAAACTAAATATAGTTAATGTCAACTTTATACATTTTCCTCGAAAATGCACTTTTTACTCCATATCTTTTTTTATGTTAATGCAATCAACTTGAAACCAACTTTTTTCTTAAGAAACCCAATACGCTCTACAACTTTACTCCCAACAACTTTTTGCTCAGACCCCTCTAAACACCTTAAATCTAAAGTTACCACTTTGACAAAAAAGTTGTCAACAGGCACATCTACCCTCCCCGTTGTCCGAACGACTTCAACTCTTTTTCTATCATATTCTCCATGTTGTGGTGCTTCAACCTTGTAACTGACCCAACTTTCCCCGACTTCGTCTTCATACTCATTTTCGCATCCAAAGTTTCGAAAAAACACGTTTTTTCAAAATATCTAATTTTTTCTCCATTGGACCCCAACTTTTGGAGGTTTTCCTGAAAACTACATTGAATTGCGCATCTATAGCAAAAAACCCCACCCCGATACACCCACTCAAAAGCTCTGGGGACTTTTTTTTAGCTGACTGCCCTTTTACTATTATATATAGATAACCAGCGTTCGGCGCGAATTGCTGAGTAGTTTTAATAGCTTTTGGGTATAAAGGCTGACTCCAGCGTTATTACAATTTAAATAAAGCAATTTCCGTTAATTTCCCAGTATTTATAATCTTCAGACTCAAATGTCCGTTCTCAGACTCAAGTGACACCTTTGAAAATATTTTCATTCAACTCCTCATTCAATTCCGCATCGAATGACACCTCAACCATCTTTCTATAACTAATACTTCAAAAGTTATAAATTTTTTACATTTAGGTCATAAATAAACATGCGGGCCTTCGGCCCGCATGTTTTCTGCAACGCGTTCCGGTTTTCTCAAAAAAATAATTTTTAATCTGGCGGTTGCCTCCGGCAACGCGTTTTCTGCAACGCGTTCCGTATTTTTAAAAATAATTTTTAATTCTGGCGGTTGCCTCCGGCAACGCGTTTTCTGCAACGCGTTCCGGTTTCCTCAAAAAAATAATTTTTAATCTGGCGGTTGCCTCCGGCAACGCGTTTTCTGCAACGCGTTCCGTATTTTTAAAAATAATTTTTAATTCTGGCGGTTGCCTCCGGCAACGCGTTTTCTGCAACGCGTTCCGGTTTCCTCAAAAAAATAATTTTTAATCTGGCGGTTGCCTCCGGCAACGCGTTTTCTGCAACGCGTTCCGTATTTTTAAAAATAATTTTTAATTCTGGCGGTTGCCTCCGGCAACGCGTTTTCTGCAACGCGTTCCGGTTTCCTCAAAAAATAATTTTTAATCTGGCGGTTGCCTCCGGCAACGCGTTTTCTGCAACGTGTTCCGTATTTTTAAAAAATAATTTTTAATTCTGGCGGTTGCCTCCGGCAACGCGTTTTCTGCAACGCGTTCCGGTTTCCTCAAAAAATAATTTTTAATCTGGCGGTTGCCTCCGGCAACGCGTTTTCTGCAACGTGTTCCGTATTTTTAAAAAATAATTTTTAATTCTGGCGGTTGCCTCCGGCAACGCGTTTTCTGCAACGCGTTCCGGTTTCCTCAAAAAATAATTTTTAATCTGGCGGTTGCCTCCGGCAACGCGTTTTCTGCAACGTGTTCCGTATTTTTAAAAAATAATTTTTAATTCTGGCGGTTGCCTCCGGCAACGCGTTTTCTGCAACGCGTTCCGGTTTCCTCAAAAAATAATTTTTAATCTGGCGGTTGCCTCCGGCAACGCGTTTTCTGCAACGCGTTCCGGTTTCCTCAAAAAAATAATTTTTAATCTGGCGGTTGCCTCCGGCAACGCGTTTTCTGCAACGCGTTCCGTATTTTTAAAAATAATTTTTAATTCTGGCGGTTGCCTCCGGCAACGCGTTTTCTGCAACGCGTTCCGGTTTCCTCAAAAAAATAATTTTTAATCTGGCGG